AAAAAATATCCGCATGATGATGTAATCATAACTACATACAAACGTTACCGTAATTACTGTAATGAACTACTTAAAAAACTGAAAAAGGAATATGAAAAATCAGAATTAACAGCAGCAGTTAAAACAAGTAATAAAATACTTTGGGACACAATTAAAATAGTCACAAATACGAATAAACAAAATAATAATGCCGATAAATTATTAAACAAATCTGACCCCAAAACTTCAGTTAATTATGTTAATTCATTTTTTGTAAATATAGGTAAATCTTTGGCAGAAAAACAGCACATTAATAACAACACTTCTAGCATTTTTTCTATAAACACATATCAGCATTCCATAGTACTTCTTGACACGGACGAACATGAAATAGAGACGATTATTTTAAATATGAAATCTGATTGTAGTGTAGGTAGAGATAATATTTGGACTTTCCTTCTAAAAAAGTACAGAAATTTACTAGTCCCTCCCATTACATATATATGTAACCTTTCCTTTAAAACTGGTAAATTCCCCAAATGTTTTAAACTAGCTGAAATTCACACTATTTACAAGAGCGGTGATGCGGGCTGTGTCAATAACTATAGACCCATTTCCATTCTTCCTACTGTGTCAAAATACTAGAAAAAGTAACAAGCGCTTGACTAATTACTTAGAGATAAATAATATGTTATCACATTGCCAATATGGATTTCGAACAAAATATTCTACACAGGATGCAGTTCATGAACTAACTAATTTCATTTTTACAAACCTTGACCGTAAAAAGAAAATAGTTATTATATTCCTTGATCTAGCTAAAGCATTTGACATCGTCTCCGTTCCGCTTTTGTTGAATAAGCTAGAAGATCTTGGAATGAGAAATACACAGCTGAAACTCTTCTCTGACTATTTAACGGGTCGATATCAGAGGGCTAGGATTGGTGGTTGCTGCAGTGATGATCTTTCCGTATCATATGGTGTACCACAGGGTGGTGTACTTGGTCCAACGCTATTTCTTTAATTCCCTATGTAATGTAAAAATTCACAATGGGAAGATCATTGCTTTTGCGGATGACATGGCTCTTCTTTTCTAGGCAGATACATGGTCTGAGGTATTTAACCTCTCACAAAATAAGTTTGATTTATTAAATAAATAGCTTAAAGAATGTAAACTTACATTAAATGTCGATAAAACAAAATACATAGCATTTACAACAAAAATCATCAATGTACCTGAATTAGAATACTTCCACATTACAGCTCACTGTTGCTCCCAAATTGATAGCTCTTGCTTCTGCCCTACACTCTCTAGAACGGATTGCATAAAATATCTCGGCGTAATGATAGATAACTCCCTTAGCTTTCACTTTCATATTGGCCTCTTAAGTACAAGGATACGTAAGTTAATTTATATTTTTAAAAATCTACGTCGTGTTGCAGATCTTAATGTAAAAAAATGGTATATTTTGCACTGTGTCAATCATTGTTGACATATTGTATTACCATCTGAGGAGACGCACCTAAAACAACCATATTGCAATTAGAAAGGGCCTAGAGGGCGGTATTAAAAGTTAGCAATTCTCTACCATTCCTTTTCCCTACAACTGACCTTTATCAACAGTGTAGTGTCTTATCTGTTCGCAAATTGTTTATATTACACACTGCGCTACTACAACATTCTATGATACAGTATGAGTCCTCCAATAATGACAAAAGAAGGAAATATGTAGTTTGTCCCAGTAAATGTCTAAAGACCCAATTTTCACATAGATTTTTCTGTTTCCTGGGAGGTTACCTTTATAATAACTTGAATAACGTTTATTAATTTACTCTCTACCAAAACATACATGTAAACAAAAATTACAGAAGTGTTTGCTAAATATCGATTATAAGGCTGCTGAAAAATTTACTGACAGTAATTATCCTAAAAACACATAACCTAATACAAACACACACACACACACACTATTTTTTATTTATATAGAAATAACTTTAAAAAAACTGAAAATGTAAATATTATGTGCAATTGGTTAGGGTGAGGGCCTGGTGATCTATAACACAGGGATTACCCTAGTATGGAACATCAGTCTCTCACAAAGGTTACAAATTGTCTGCAACCGTATTATTTACCTAAGTAATAATATGAAATTTTATACCTTTGTGAAGAGGCGATGCGATGCACTTAGAAATGCCATAAAATTCAATTATAAGGAATGTGTATAGGCGGATCCAGATCCATTCAACGGTAAAGGTTGGTTGTAATAATCAGAAGTAGAGGAGGATGATGATGGAACCCATGTCATATCAGGAATATTATAATTACCAATCACATAAAAGCTATCAATAAGGGGATTATTATATATATATATATATATATATATATATATATATATATATATACATTCAAGATGCTTAGAGTGCAGAGATTTATCTCGGTTTGAGGTATTAAATATAGCAAGTCTCACGCAGCACCGCCACCAGAACACCACCACCTAAGCGGTCTCTGTCACATCTGTAAACTACGTACTTCTGATCTATAAGTTCACCGTTGCCAATGACTGGAAGAAGCCAGGTAGTTTTGTTACTCAAAGGCAGTGCATACTAGGCCATCTGAAGAAAATATACGCTCCGGCGGCTCTACACTGGTGGGCGAATTAGTTTCGAAACGTTCATAAGCTAACGATAAGTAGTACCCTCCTTGTCTTTGCCCACCATTTTGAAATAGAGACATTCCAACCCCCACAGTACTAATTAAAGTCATTTTTTTATCTGTCGATTTAGTAGCAGTATCAACAGATACTGCTACTAAATCGACAGATAAAACAGCTTTAGGCAACTCTCTATTAAGTTCCTCTTCATTTTTTAGGGGGGATTCATGTAATTCAACTTCCTGCAGATCTTGACTTCCAACTGTTGGCGTTTCTTCAAGGGATACTTTTTCTTTACGACGCAACGTGTCGTGGATCTTCACTTCCCCCTTCACTCCCTCATAATTCCCGCGTCTTCGTTTTGACCCTAGAGTAAAATCAACGAGTCGAGCGAAGGCAAAGAATCGATATCTATATTACGAATTTAAAAAAAATGTAATATAGATATCGATTACTGATCGTTTTATCAATCTATATTGATAAAAAAAACAATCATTCAAACAAATAGAATAAAATATCACTAAAATCATACTGTTTGCCATAAACACTACATTGCAGTGATATATTATGCTTTTTAATAAATTTTGTAAAGGAACCGAAAAAACCGAGTTATAAATTTTCGGAACCGGTTCTTTTCGTGACCCCTAAAAACCGGGAATTTCCGGTTCCGATGCCCTACTTGTACTATAACACTATGTATGTTTGAGGACGAAACTTGAAGTTTAGCACCAGTTTTTAATTTTTCTACCGACTTCAAAAAGGAGACGGTACTCAATTCGACTGTATGTTTTTTTATGTTTTTACCTCATAACTTTTTACTGGGTGAACAGATTTCGATGATTGTTTTTTATATAAGCTAGTACTTCACATGTGATCCTAAATTTTCGAGTTATTCTTAATAATTTATATTGAAGTCGGCTGTACAAAATGTTTAATTTTAAATTATATTCGCAGATTAGCTTAGCGCCTCGATCGTTACGCAGCACGCGACTTGAATGTATATTAGCTGCTGTAGTGACCTCCACTGATGATGTGGCTGTTTTTTGTTACTCTTTAGTATCGTTCCTTTCTTTGTCGTAATGTAGTAACTTCACGCGTCATACCATTTGCTTTTCAATATAATAGTGAGCTTTTCCTTAATGTCTTGTGTCATCGTTATAGTGCAGAACTGTTTCTTTAACGCAGGCATGCACTCAAGTCGAAAACCATATTAGTATCTGATTAACTTATCACCAAACAACCAACGCCTACTTTTGCGGATTTTTGTAGATACGACGTACACATACTTGCTATGATTTTGGAGGCAGAAATTTTGCTGCTTGAGTTGATTGGTGGTAAGTCTTGAATGTACATTGGCATTTTCTTTGTGTTTCTTACTGCCTGTTAGAGAGCAGCGGCTTCCATAACACATCTATGAGTTGATGATGCGCTTTTTTCTTGTGCTTTTTGCTACTTTTCTTCTAGATTTGGCTCTGGATACAACGACCTGGTGTGTGCCGTTGCGGGTTGTCCAGGCGCTGGGTTAGGGCGCGTGGTGCGGGAGCGTTTTTTGCAAGCATATGTTAATGCGAAGCAATGATTGGTCATCATCTATTTATTAGTCATTCTGGAATTTTGCATACGCTTCTGTCAGTTTTAGTTGCACACGTAGCTGTTGAGGTTTGGTTTTTGCTTGTATTTGTGCTTGCATCAGCTTCACCTCGACTAGCTCATCCATGACCTCTTACTCCGTGAGGCACCTCTTGCGTGAGGTTACAGAGCGATGTGACTGAGCGGCCGTCGGCGTGAGCTAACGTTGAGAGAAGAAATAAAAGATTTTTGTGGAGACTAGCGATCCGGGAGCCAGAACTTAACTTTTCCTACTTGTTTCCTGACACGTACCTCAGCCCCGTCTATACATTTTTGTTCATAAATTATTATTATATTTTCGTATACACATTTTGGAGCGTAATTAATGAATGTATACCTATTTTATAATAAAAAACATAACTAATACTACTTACTACCTACTGCAGCAACTTATTTTTTAGCCCTAAACTCAGCACGTCGCGTCGTCTTGCCGCCCACCACCGTACTATAAAGTAAAACATTCCATTCAATAATTTAGAGGCTGCTATGGAAATTTTTGTTTTTGTGCGTGCTTATTTTTAATTTGATACTATTTCTCTACATTTTGACCATATTATACAACAAAATAAATTTGCACGTATTACTCTAACATATAACAGGCACTTTTCATCACTATATATTTCTTAAACTTACCAAAAGCATATTATGTGTAAGGCAGCTACAAGAAAACGCGTATCGATTAAATTGCACTCACTGTATTTCATGAATTGTGCGATAGTATCACGAACATATGTTTTATAGGTTGGTCCAATACACTAGTCGTCTGGTTTGGCATCAACTTGAAACAAGAAATGCGAATAAATATTCCGTGGACAGAGTTAAAAGTTTAGAAAATACTTTAAGCACTTTTAGAAAAGGTAATGCCAGAAAATGATTTACTACTACATTATTTACACTTCTATGTATACTTCAAGACTGACAATATAAAACAAAAACTGTATTACAGCTGTAGATTGCGCAGGCACAGCCCGGTTACTGGCACGATAAATATGCCACGCAGTTGTATTTTTATTTACGACATTTATTGTTTTTAGGCAAATAAGAGGGGTTTTTGCCAAAATACTCTTCTAGGCTTTTGTTACGCTAAGTCACTGCAATTTACCATCTAAGGCTGCATCACCAGTTACCACCAGGTGGGATTGTGGTCAAGCACTGGCTTATAATAAGTAAAAAAAATTACCGTAACTTAGTGCGCAATGTATTAAGGCTGCAGAACTCGTCTAGTAGTATACATAGAAGTCTTTAATTATATACAAATTTATTTACAAATTGCATATAATAATTATTTTGTTACAGTCCTAAGATTGGGAAGATGTATAGACATTTTCTATACAGCATTGAATAACATACACATTGAAGATCCTTTCCTAAGATTTACTGTAACAACAAGTAAATTAGCACATGCTCTGTATCTGTATGCAGACCACATAGTGTGGCTATCTAAAAGTGGATTCTTAAAATCAGATTCAGATGGTTGGAGTCAAACTGCCAACAGATTTTGGCTATTATCAATAATTGCCAATCTAGCTAGAGACTTCTATGAAATATTACATGTGCTGGATCTAAATAAATCTATGTTTCTAAATCCAACTGAATTAATTAATGTACATGTGAGACAATTTGATTTAAATTCGAGTTTTAAACATCTTTATGCAATTTTAAGTTGTCATAAAGACATATTTATAGATACTGTGAAAAATTCTTGTGATTTATTCATTCCTTTGACTGCTTTAGGGTACACGAAGTTAAGCCCTAGTGCAGTGGGAGCTTTAGGAGCTTTTTCATCTTTAGCTGCTTTAATTACTTTAATTAAACCTATCACAAAACTAGTTCCTGCTTAAAATTTATAAAACCTGTAATCGGTGACAGCATAGATTTGTAGTTTATCAATCAAAAAATTTAATATCAAGGTGAAGGTTTACTATTCTTTATAAAGAAATAGGACAGTTGATAGTCAAAATGAAACTTTCCTATAGATATTTTAAATATGGGGAACCCTATAAATGAAGTCATAGTTTGTTGTAGCCAAACAAGTATATAATTTGTTTTAAAAGACTATGTTTTAAACACAATTTAAATGTTATTTTGCATTAATTTCGTTAGCACAAGAAATCTAAGGGCAGGGAGTTGTAACGCCCGCCTGCGCTTTCTTTTTTCATAACACATCAAAAGTGTCAAAAAATCTGTCAATGTCTACAACTAGCGCGTTTCTACACGCGAATTGTATGAATTACATTGAAAGAAAAAATTACACTGAGGATTTAAAAAGAGATAGGAGAGGTTTACCGAGAGCGTCGTCATGTCACGTGTCGATCGTAGAGGCTTAACGAAGCTTTGACTTTCTATAGCAGAAGTCATTTTAGCATTTGGGGTGCTAAAACTAGGTCTTTTTTAGTTAGTCTAGCGTGCATCTAAAACAATTTAGCGCCTAGCGGATAATCTAGCGTTTTGGATTTCTTACGTTTACATAATAATACGCCCACGGGAGTTACATACAGCAGAATTACCGATTTGAGATTTGCGAACCGAAAAGAGTTAACCGATTCGTTGCGGCACCAATTTTCGACAACTTTTAGCTGTGGCGGCGAACAAATATTTCATGACACGTCGGGCATGTCAAGCACCACAGGCAAATGACACGCCTATTGTGCCATCCGCCATGTGTAAAAGTAATGTTCTTTTTTATGCTTTTTTTACTTGTTTAGACCTAATTAAGTTTATTTGACATCAAACATAAGTTACAAGTGGAAGGATACTTGTTTTTAGTGGTTAACTACGTGTTTTTTTACGCGTTTTCTTTGAAATTGAGAGAAAGTGACTTTTTTTATGAAGAGATTACAAACCTTTTGTACTATTTTTTGTTGTTATAAAAAAATCATTTATATAAGTAGGTACAGCTAAATCACCCTGGAAACCTGTTTTTATTAAATTAAATTTTCACCTAATAATAACATTTGTAAATATCAAACAATGAAGAACCTTAATTTGAAAAAAAAATATAAGGTATATCATTCATTTTTTTTTTTATTCATTGATATTTACAAATGTTAAATATTATTTAATGTTATACAAATGTAAAAGTAAAGTCGATATGAAAACGTCTAATTAGCAAAACAAGTGTTTTCAAAAGGAAAAAAAAACGCCGGTGCTATACGGCGGCGGATTGACAAAAGACTATTTATTAGCGAACTTTTTTTATGCATGAACGGTTTCGAACTGTTTCAAGCAAAAACAAACCTTATACCATATCACAAGAGCACATGGTACTTCGTAGGTCTATTCGGCCATATGATAGTAATAAGACGGCAGTTCAACCATTTTAAGCAAAATTAAACAATAAGACAAACGCATTGTTCTTTTTTAACAGGAGACTTGTTTTCCAGAAATTTATTTACAACTTGAGTTTGTGAGCGATCGCAATGAGTGTTATTATTTGTTACTTATTAGACAATTTTTCCATAACATGATTTAAAACCCACGAAGTAAAAATAGTACCATGTACACGTTAAAAAAAGGTTGTCAACCCCTAAAAATTTCAATTCTTCAAAATATCCAGAAACGAAGCTGCATACATGAACTACTCGCAAAATAATGAATATTTTGTTCTGGATAAATTTTCCAAAAAAGCAATTTGAGCGAGTTATAACGATTTTTAAAAAGACACGACACGCCTGTCATACGCCACACACAAAAGTAAACGATGGCACATGGCGTGTCACCCGCACTGAACCGGTTAATGCCCTTTAATATTCAAACTTGTGTATTTGTTATGATTATTATCAACTTCCTGGTGATATCATTAGTATAATTTAAACTTCTGAAAAATATAAATTAAAAGAGATTTTTATCAAGCTGACCTCCCGAGGTCGGTTATGAAGAAGGAGAGATAAATTTATGAAGATTATAAATTTTTATGTTGGTTTTATATGATATTGTTTTTTCTGTTTAACAATTCATGGCCAAAGGTTCGAAGTTAGCACTAAATCTAGCGCTTTTTATATTCTAATTGTAATGAAATGTAGCGCTTTTTGTAATTTCATTAGCGCTAAATAGGTATGGCGGCACCTTCTACGCGCGGCTTTATTTTATTCAACAATAAAATTTTCTACAATTAAAACTCAGAGTATATACAAAAAGAAGAATGTTTGTAAAACACAATGAATAAGAAACTTATAATAAATACTTCAATTAAAGCTCATAATGGAGGGCACTGGTGATAAGTAAAGCACATAATCTAAAGATACAAAGCGGTAAAAGCCGTAAGGCTAATAACAATGATTGAATGTACTGATGGGTGTACTTCCGTCTCATGCTTGTGTTAGCAACACTAACACATTTATATTACATTTTAAAAATTTGTCTTTGTTTTCGAATTATTTTATAATAATTATCTATTTCTTTTAATGTTTAAAATGTTTCCGTTTTAATATTTGTAAAAATAGTAAATGTGGGAGTATTTAATATGGCAACATTATAAGACACGGGACGGGATCATGTTTGTTTGTTTAGAAGGGTGAGATATAATATTTTTGTCAAAAGTACTTGTTAACAGCATATAGGTATAAGGATTAAACATAAAACTTATAATAATAATGTAATTAAAGTGTATTGGATCCAAATCATAATTTATTCTTTTATTTCGAAGTGATTCAGCTAATAATTCAGAAGTGGGATAAACGAGCCTGCCCTCAGGTATGTTCTATTGTTTTCAATTTTATAAGTTAACCTCTGAGACCTTGACATTTTATTGGACATATTTAGTCAGAACTATGGTCAAGCCAACGGGTATAGTAGGTCAGACCAAAGACATTTTTTTTAAAAGATGGTAAATATAACTTAGTGTCGTTACTATGCTCTTAACCAAAAATAAAAAAATATCAACAATTAAAATATCGAATTATTTGTATGAAGGTCAAGTGAGCGCTAGAGTAACGACGATTGCAAGACGATTCGTCGATAAATGAAATTTTTCGAGAAATTATCAATTACTGTGTAGTGGCGGTGTATGAATATTCATATCATTCCGTGGGTTTCGTAAGGAGATCCACTGTTCAGTTCCACGGTACATGTACCTTGTTACACAGTAACAAGATACGTGTACCGTGGAACAGAACAACAAGTATACCCTCTATGATGAATATAGTGGAGGCCTAAGTTCAGTGGGGGTTTTTATAGGATGTAACGGAGTTTGTTGTAATAACGACAAGAAAAAAATGTGGGAAAAAAAGGCGAACATTTTTTCTAAATTTAATCTCGTTGGAACGCGGATACTCCGTGCGATGTTTAGGGCAGCGTTGCAAAGGTGGGTATTATTTGTGACAGTAAAATTATGTGCTCCCCTTTATTTCTATGGCCCAAGACCAGCAGTGGAAGAAAACTGGTAAGGAGAGGGAGGGATTAATTTTATTATTTGAAAAAATATTTTTGTGTGTAAAAAAAGTCATCAAATATCATCAAACAATTTATTAAACAAAAGTAGCGTAAACAATTTCAATAGTTAAAACAGTAATAAATAACAAAACTAAACAATTCTACTGAAAAGAAAAAAAATTAATATTATGTCACTTCTACAACTAAGGCAAATCTAACGAATCGCCTTATGTTAAAATCAAATAAATATTATAAAGAAAGAAACAAGGACATAGAAACACTCGATTTTCATAAAGAAAAAAAATATATAATATAATTATATCGATAAACTTAGTAGGAGCCTGAAAAAAAATAAATCATAGGTATATACTTTATTACGCTATCTTTTACCAACCTTTTATATAAAAACTAACAAAAATCTTTCTATTGTACCCAGTTAATTTTTTTTAACATTTGTAGTTGCCTCTTACACTCACGCGGCGAAGGAAATAAGACTAATGCGGGTCACTCACATGTGCGCAAACATTCGTACATTGTACGAATGTTTGCATGCATGTGAACATTCGTACATTGTACGAATGTTTGCATGCATGTGAAGGACCGTCACACATTCATTCGCGAAGTACGCGAAGGATCGAGGTTCGTGCGCTTTGATGTCCGTTAATAACCGACACAGCTTGGAAAACCGCGAATGCAGCCAAAACTTTGCATAATAATTTGCAAATGTCGTCCCACACTTATGGGTTTGCGTATTCGTGCGAATGTGAGTGACCGGGGTTAAGTATGTGACGTAAACGTGAGGCATAGGTAAAGGCGGAAACTCGTAATTTGAAGTAAATTCTGTTAATTTAAAGAAGCGTAATTTAGTAACTAAACTAATGTAATAAAATTTTAGTTTTATAAAGCATTTAAAAATAATTGCTCCGAGCACAACAACTATGGTTCTGACTAAACGTAGTGATTATATACTCTTTGGTTCTGAGGGGTCCTTTCTAAATATAACCATACTCTGGAGCGTTCTACAAATAAAAGAAGAATGACTACATGTAGGAGTGTCCACTTTGAAAATACATCGATGTGATGCATCGAGAATGTGCATCGATGTATTTCGATGCGTCGGTTAGAAACATCGATGTTTTTGTAACATCGAGTACTTTTTATGACTACATTATAAATCTGTAGTTAACTTCCTGACACCCCATTCAAACAACCGACAATTTTGAATGATCTACTCTTACATCGGCACTGTCTTTGTCCGCACAACTTTTGTGTGTGTTTGTGTGTGTGTGTGTGTGTGTTCAAGTATGTTAGACAGTTAGATAGAAATTCTTTATTGCACGAAACACAAAGTATCTTAATCTTAAGAATTAATATATTGTTAACAAACGTAATATATATGTATGTATATGTCTGTATGTATTTTTTTATTTTGTTTTTATTCTGTACTGCTACACCTACGTCAAATTCCCACCACTCCATGGGTTGACTGGTAGAGAATGCCTCAAGGCTTTAACTCCGCCCTTTGTATTCTTTTATATTAAGGAATGCAATAAAGAATAAATAAATTATTATTTATTATCATTGACCTACTACTAAACGGACGGCGGATCTAGAACAACATTCACGAATAATGTGTCCCGAGTCAACCAATATAAGCGTATTATATCTATAACTTTAATTGCGACAATTTAGCAGCCTTTCAACTTCAACCAGAAACTGTTTTATCTTATGCAGCTTCTAGCGAAAATTATCGGTATGATTTTTTGTTTTTACAATTAATGTGAATTTAATTTAAATACTACGTATCTTGTATCTAAGCAAAATATTACTTTTAAATTATTAAATATTAATAGTCCTTATCGAAAATATGTATAAATCATAAATATAAATAGTTTTGCTCGTTTTGTGATACAGTTCGTTATTTTGGAACGCAATTGGAACTCTTTTTGGAACTCTTTTGACTCGGACACTTCAGCGCAGAACCGAGGTCCATTTAGTAGTAGGTCAATATTTATGATATTATTTTTAATGTTTTTAATAGAAAAAAGCATGCATCACAATGAAAATACTTACATAAGGAATTTAACTCCATCTTTTTGTAAATTTTAAGTATTTTGACTGCTTTATGCACACGTTAACCGCACCGATCGGCATTTTTTAAAGATCATCTACTTCGGCGGAAACGATTCTTGTAATGATAAAATCGATGTCGTAAACAGTTTTTATAAACACACAAGCTTTTAAATCCAATACCTTGACAGAGGGGAATAATTATGCGAGAGGAGTCCACTGGGTTAAATGATCTAAAGGTGGTTACTCACTTGCCTGCTGCAGGGGCAATCTAGGGTGTAGTAGTGGGAATGACCCTTAATTGCCTCCTTAATTGCGATGTGTGTATGAAAACAGGGGCAAGACAGCCCTGCGGCAGAGCGACATAGGCGCAAGACCTTCCTTTCTCCCTAGATGACAGCTACCGCTGCCAGGTTTGTAGCGCAATTGGGGCAATTTGAATCAGTTCGTAAGCGACTTTCGCGTGCAGCACATGTCACAAATTATTAAATTGTCATTTTTACATAATTTGTAATGGTAATCCAAAACTATGGACTTAACTGCATTAAAACTGAATGAGAATCATGATAAGCTATAATTATTCAACAACACTCCAAACAAAACCATATACCTTTTATTCAGAACATATTTTCGTTTATGACCCATTTTGTTAATATAAAACAAACATAATGCCTACTAATTAGGCATGGGTAATAAAATATAATAGTATAGTATAAATAATAAATATATCGATATATATGGTCGATATTTTAAATCGCGGTATATCGACATATCGATATTTATTTGAGAGTATCGAATTTGTATCAATTTCGATATATTTTAAAATGTTGTATCGTTTTTTTCGTCGTCCAACCGTCAGTAGATAAAATTTTGTACCTTATCTTTACATCATTCAAATGATTACGATATATCGATATTTATCACGCTATATATATCGATACTGTTTAAAAATATAGATTCGATATATTTTTCCCTTTGCCCATCCCTAGTCCCTACTACTAATATACTGTTAATGTGGCATATTACAAAGTTACTAAGAAACCAAAATATAAGAGTGTAGTTGTTAATAAATAATATATATGATGTCACACTAACTTCTAAAATGATGTGGAAATACTTCTCATAAGCCAGAAGAAGCTACAAAAAAAAACATTACATTATCTATTTACTTTTATGTAGTTTAATTTAACAGTTGTTTTAAATAATTGTGTGATTATTATGCAAGGAATATCTGTAGTCAGCGGTGGATTCGTTGCTATAATGATGCTTGATGCAAATTTATTTGCTTATTAAATGTAATGACAACAGTATTGTTTCGTTTAATATTACTTGTAATATAAAGCCATATTTTATATAACTTATGGGAATTTAATTATAATACATATAAGACTTTCTGTTTTATGCAAAGCTCATACTAATTGCTGAATTCATTTTCCTACTCCTTTATCTATATCACTTTATCCTTTGACAGATCCTAGTATATTATTGATTCATTATGTCAGACTCAGACCAGAGTGCGCATACCCTAGCACTTAATAGTGATATGGTACAAAAGAGAAAACAATATAATAAAAGCATAGTTTCAACTGCAAGTAGAAGTCAGCGAAATCAATCACAAGAATTTCAGGTACAATCTAGGTCTAGGTGCAGGTCACGAAATCGTCGAATGACAGGTGGTAACAGTCGGAAGAGTTCACATGGCACATGTAGTAGGAACAAACGCCAAAATAGAAGTCGCTCACATGTTAAGCGCCCTCGTAGTTTCCAAAGAAAACGCAACAAATCTGCACGCTCTTCAAGTACTAGTACGAATAGTACATGGAGTAGCATTAACTCTATTCTATATCTATTTTCTTCAATTCTTCATATTTTCAAAAACCCGTAAAGGCTAAAGCCAAGTCTTCTTTATATTATACTCTTTGTAAGTTTCAATCCATGTAGATTTGTCAATCCAATATTTTCAAAAACAGGGATACCATATTTCATATTTCTTTTACAGTATTATGAATAAAAGTGCTAAATATGTCTTAGTATTCGCTGCCGGGAATAAAGTCAATGGTGCCCTGACTGCGTTAGTCAAAAGGCAAGGCGTAGTGAAGAGTGCACGCCTTGCAATACATAACGCAGTGTTGGTACCGACTTAGGTATATGGCAGCGAAACTTGGGTATGCCAGAAGAAGCATAAAAGCAAGTTGAATGCAGTGGAGATGCGATCTCTTCGTAAAATGTGCGGCGTTACCATGGCCGACCGAAAGCGAAACGAAGAGATTCGCAATATGGCAGGTTTGAAAGATGACCTTATCACAAAAATTGATAAGGGCCTGCTTCGGTGGTTTGGGTACGTTGAGCGAATGAGTGAAGACCGAATGGTGAAGAAAATATATAGCGCGAAAGTAAATATTAAAAGGTGTCGAGGTAGAACGAGAGTAATTTTCGAAGACCATGTGAGCAAATTGCTCGAAGAGGGGAGGGTCAAGAGTACTCGGATACCTAGACGTGCATGCATGAAGAAGATAATGAATCTGAAAGAAGCGAAAGAGGTATGTAAGGATCGTGACACTTGGCGATCTGTTCTCTCTGGCTACCCCGTCAGGGATTGTGCGTGAAGATAAGTAGTAAGTAGTAGTAGTATTCCTAAGAACATCTTGCAGGGCACGCGGGACGCTTTCTGAGTTTTCATAAGCTAGTATAAGTTTTTCAATGAGTAGCAATCTTTCTATGGCGTACGCTGGGCAGTTAAATATTATATGTTCTGTAGTCTGATCTGCTTCTGTATCGCAGAAATTGCATTTTGCAGATGCTACTATTCTCATCCTGGAAAGATGAGCGTTCAGTCGATAGTGGCCAAATCTAGTCTGCACATTATTGTATAAAATTTTCTGCTATGATATCTTCGCATATCGTTGCGAGAAAACCAAGGAATACTTAATTCTGAATTAATTGATGCATACCAACGACCTTTTCCTGCCTCTAAAACAGCATTCCATTGCATTTTCCATTCTTCTTTTAACTCTTGCTTTAAAATTGAATATAAATCTGTATGTGGTATTGCAACATCGGTTATCCTGTCAATATCAGCTGTAACTATACTTTTAGCTAAATGGTCTGCTCTTTCATTTCCTTGAAACCCCAATATGTGACGGAGTCCATAAAAATTTTACTTCCAAATTATTTTCTTTCAATTTCCACCACAAACTTTTATTTCATATATGATGAAAGACGTTTTAGCATCTAAAGCCTTGCCTTCAGTGCCTTCAAGACACTCATGCTATCAGAGATCAGTAACCATTTATTAGATACATGTGGGTGTTCTTCTATATATTTAAGAGCGATTAAGACAGCATAACATTCTGCAGTGTATATGCTTGCTAATGCTGGAATAGAAAGACCACGTCCAGTTTTCAGATGAGGTATGTAAAATGCACAGGCTACTTTATTTTCAACTTTTGAACTATCTGTGTAAATTTGTCGATATTCATCATATGTAGATTTCACTTTCTTTTCAATTTTTCATCAATATTTATGTGTATATCACTGAATTTACTTTCATAATTCCCCTTATAACAAGGCCAAGTATGTGCGCTTTTGTGAATATTATATTGTTCATCATATCGTATCACTTCATGAAAGACATGGAGTATATATGGGGCTGAGTTAGATATAGGAGACATACTATTATAGTAAAATAATACTTTTTGAAAAAGAGGATGATGTGACAAAGAATTGATATTTAATAAAAACCTAAATTTCAGATATTTAAACCTAAGTAAGATAGGAGGAGTAAGACATTCAGCCTGTAAAGAAACAATAGGAGTTGTTCTCATAGAGCCGGTAATAAGTCTTAAATTCCTATTTTGTATAATATCTAATTTGTTTACTAGTTTTTTATTTGATGCAAAACAAAGGAAGCCATACTCAAAATGGCTCACCAAAGACTCATATAACATTAATAATATTTCTGGATCAGCTCCCCAGTTAGTACTAGCCAAAGCTTTTAATACATTAAAGGCCTTAGAAGCTCTGTCTGTAATAGAATTCACGTATTTGGTCCAAGATAATTTATTTATAAAAATTACACCTAAGAATTTTACACAACTTTACTATTGGTAAAAATGTATTATTATAAATTATTCTAGTGTTAAATGGACGAATTTTATTAAATATTACAACTTTACTTTTCTCAGTACTAATATCTAAATTTAAGTATGAAAACTAAATGTGCAATTTCTTTAAAGGCTCGTTTAAAATGGTTACCAAGTTTTTGACATTTGCTCCTGAGGTGTATATGACCAAATCATCTGCATATTGTAAATTAGTAACATTTGATCCTAAAATATTGTTTAATTTAAATATGTATAAAATAAAGATAAGAGGACTTAATATTCCTCCTTGACAAACACCTTTATAACTGAGCCTAGGACCAATAATTGTATTATTATTATTAATTTTAGCAAAAACTCTTCTTTCATGTAAAAAGTTAAATATCCATTTTACATTTTTTTCAGGAATGGCCTCAAAGACCTCAACTCTGCGGCGAGTACATGAAGATTGACGTTATTAAATGCACCAACAATGTCAAAGAATATACTAAATGTCTAAGGCCGGTCACATACATACGGAATTCCGTTTCGAGATTCCGTTTCGGAATTCCGAATGGGTCGGCCACACACATACGGAATCCCGTTTTGCCCGCAAAATATCGAACGGAAAACTACCGTATGTGTGTGGCGGGTCATAGATTTTATATGGACTTGCTGCGTTCGGGATTCTGAATCGGAATATCGAAACGGAATTCCGTATGTATGTGGCCGGCCTTAATGTAGAAATGCAGTACTTTCTCCAGATGACTTACGGCGTCTGAATCCAAACTGATTCGATGGTAAAAGACAATTTTTTTCTAGATAAAATTCTAATCTAGATTTTATAAGTTGCTCAAATATTTTACCCATACAAGATGTAAGTGCTATAGGTCTGTAAGATTCTGCAATGTGAGGTTTTTTTCCAGGCTTTAAAATGGGTATCAAACAATCTTCTTTCCAATCGTTAGGAATAAGTGAATGAAACCATAACATATTATATATTTTCAAAACCAGTTGTAGAGACACAGTATTCATATTTTTTAAAGCTTTATATGGAACAGAATCTAAACCACAAGTAGTGTCTTTTCTAGAGTTAACAGCTGAATTGAATTCGGTCAAGGTAAAAGGTTTGGTAAGATAATCACAATGATTATCATTTGAGGAGTGAGGGGTTAGAGGTGTTTCATCTGTTTCTGGAGTATATTTTTTCAAAAATTCATTAGCCCAATTAGAATCTATAACAGATGTGTTATTATGAACAAAAGTTTTGTTAAACTTTTTAATGTAATTCCATACTCTAGTCAATGGAGTAGATCTATTAAAAGTTCCACATAGTTTTTTCCAGCTAAGCTGTCTTTCAGTCTTCAAAGTAATTTTTTTAACAGCTTGTAGTCTTTTAAAATTAATATAATTTCGTTCTGTGGGATCATTCTTAAATACTAAATATGCATTTTACAATTTAATACTGCCTCTTTGCATTTTAAATTCCACCAAGGTAGAGAATTATTTTTTTAATTCTCTTAGAAGATTGCAATTTGATGTTAACATTTCGATTAGAAGACTGATTGGATGGTGTGGATTCATGCATGGCTTGTTTAATTAGTTCTATTAAGTCTGTATAACATTGTAAAGGATTACTATAATCAAAACTATAATTTTTCATTAAATTATCTATTAAATTTGTATATTTTGACCAATCTACCAATTTTAAGTTTATGTTATTTGATACAGCTGTTTCTTGAAAATTTTGACTATTAACCATAATTTTTGTCTTTACAGGAAAATGATAGCTGCCTAGAGAATCATCATCACATACTTGCCACTCACAAGACAGAGCCAGTGAAGATGAAACAAGTGTCAAGTCTAATGCATTTTGCCTCCATCTATGAGATCCTACTGTAGTCATCTGACCATCATTCAAAATTACAAGATTGCAAGAACGTCCCTACCTCGTGAATCTAATTCAGTACACCCCCATAATGTGTGATGGGCGTTGAAATCACCAGCTATAAAGACTGGCTGTGGCAAACTTTGGATTAAATTATCTAATTTGGATTTATTATAATTAATTGGTGAATTAGGGGGACAGTAAACACTAACTAAAGTTAATAATTTATCATTGTATTGTATTTGTACAGCTATATTTTGTAATGAGTCATCAGAGAATGTATTGATAACAAGAAATTTTGTTATGTAGAAGTATTGCTACTCCATTATGATCATTACCTGAATCTAATCATATAATATTATAACCTTTTACTCTAAAATTGTGCCTAGGTTTAAGCCAAGTTTCACATATGAGAGCAACATCTATGGTGTTCTCATATAAAAATTGTGTAAATTGAAAGCGATTTTTAATTAAACTCTGTGCATTCCATTGTAAAATGTTAAACTGATCCATAAAATATTAAATGTTAAATAATGAAATATCTATTTTGGTTTCATTGTATCTATGAGAACATCTTTAATAAGCTGAGAAGATATGGTGGTTTGTTCATTTGATTTATTAAGAGTTAATACTTTAATGACTGTATTTAATATTATATTAATAATGTCATCATTCTTTAGCAGTGACATAAGAGCATCTTTGGGATTTTATTTTTGTTTAATTCGGGAAATTCGCTTTTATTAAAAAGGTCTACAAATGGGGTTTTGTGTAATTTAGCCTGATTTTCTTTTATCTTTTGTTTCTTAACACGACACTGTCCAGAAATGCTTAGATGGTTTCCTTTTCAATGTATGCATATCGCTTTATCTGAAGAGACTTGGCAATCTTTGTAGCTGTGATTTTCAGTACAAATTGAGCATTTCACAGAATTTTTACAATACTTTGCTAAGTGACCATACCTCAAACAATTGTAGCATGCTTCACTGGTGGAATATACTGACTTACCACGAACCGTCAACCATAAAGATCGATCGACGTGGCCCGGCAAAACATTAGAAGCGAATGTGATGGCCACGGTGCCCGTCGGCTGCAGCAAACTGCGTCCTGCATCATTCTTATGTTTCCTCATTATCCTTTTAACACATATTATCTTTCTGTAAGTCGTTAACATACCAAAAATTCTTGAATTAGAAAGATTAGTGGGAACATTGGTTATGACTCCTGTTATTTCTGTCCCTACAGCTGGGATAGATGCCTTCATTTTGTATTCATTAAGAAAAGTAATATTATTTAAAAATGCATTCACTAGAGAGGGCTTTTCAAAATTAACGTCTATTTTGTATTTATTCATAGATTGCAAATATTTAATGCCTTTATTGAACCTCTTCATATGTGTGGACAGAGACATCATGTCCCGCGTGCCGATTGGCCTTCTTTCATCATTTGATTCGACAAATACAACAAAATCAACGAGAATAGAGTCCTCAGGGTACCTCCTATTGTAGTCAGATACAAAGTACGGCTTATACTTGCGCTGCTCTTTCTCAGGATCTTCCTCAGTACTGGTATCAATTTCTTCCTCCTCAGTCCTTTCTTCAAACACTTCTTCTTCTCCCGGCAACTTTTTTTTCTACGTTTCCCTATGATAAGGAAACCCAGTAACAATAAAAGCCCAGTAAAATAGAAGTTTAGTGCCTTTTAACCAAATAAAACAAAATTAAAATTTTAGTTTAAAAAAAGGCTCCTATCACGTTTCACGGTTCCCGCGCTTCCGCTAACGACTCTTTGACAGTGACAGAAATTCGAGAGAAGGGGATGGGTGGAGCTGTCAGTTACGAAATGTGAACCATAGACTAAGAGGTTCTAATAACTTGTATGAAGATTACCTGCCGTGATACTATTTATTTATAATTATAATAATTTTGTATCTATGATTTACGTCGCCATCCATAGACATAGTATCTTATCGTAGATAGAGAATTGACTAGATAAAACATTCGCGTATGCTTTTGAGATAGAAATAGGCGGGAGGTACTTTCACTGGGTTACCAGATATTGTTCCATTTCCCCCGTTATGGGTTTATTTATATTCACAGCACTTACATTCATACAAAAAACTTAATTGTTACCATAAAAAAATGTTCTTTTATAATTCAGATGATTAATTCATTTCTCTTGAAAATACATTCTGTGACTAAAAACTACGGGCGGAAACGGCGTATAAACAGAATCATCATTCTGATTTCGACGGCACTAAGTGAAGACGCTACTAGCACAAAGTGTGATATTGCTGATAAATAACAATATGTAATGTATGTACTTAAATATATATTTAATAAGAATAAAAATATTAAATAATAAACAAAAATTTCCTCGTGTCGAGTTTTGTTTTTACAAAAGAAAAATCAATAATCTTTTAACATACCATTCCATCACAAGTTCAGTGCTGAACACAGACCTCCGAAAGGAAAGGCTTTCAACTCTGTTATGAGGCTACTCCCGCGATTTCCTGCATGTTTTGCTAAGTTAGTGTCTTGTGTGCGACAAGTTGTGGCGTACAAGAGAATTTGTACGCCACAACTTGCCGCACACAAGAAATGATATTACCCCCCGTCGTAAGCAATAATACAAGATGGGGATGGGGCAGTAGCACTTTCCCGATGAAAACTTAAAATAATAAATAACTGCGGTAGCCAACCAGCACAACGCATATTTTCACGCAGGCGTGGCAACTATGGTAAAAGTCATCTTATGAGGATATCTAGGGAAGGTCTTTTTTAGGTGGGTGGGTAGGTATTTACTTATGGTTAGGTGGCTTAATCATGTTACCTAATGGTTAAGGTGGTAAAATGTTTTAGTTAATATATGTTGTAAAGCATCAACAAGGGTTTGTTTTTGTAATATGTTGGTATATAAAATAAAAACGAATGTTTTATAATATTCTATTTTAATTTACCATGCAGTGTAAGATCATATATTTACTCATATAATTCCATGGGTGGTGTATGAGGCGACATAGGGAAACATCAAAGAAGATAAACAGCAGCATTTTCCTGATAACAGCTAAATAACAAAAAGCAGTGGTTGACAACCCGCTTTCCAAGCGTTGAAACTATGCCAAATAACTATAATCATGTTTATGTTTAACAGTGGACTTTTGATAGACTGTAAAGATATATATTCTATTCAAATGAAAATATATAGAAATATAAAAAGGAAAAAGAACTAAATTTTGTGTACTTACACAACATTTAGAAATATTAACAACAAGCTGTTCCCCGCGACTTCGACGGCGGGGAGTAATTTTTCGCGGAACTCTAAAATAAAAGCAGCCCAAGTTACTCCTTATAACATCAGCTATCTGCCAGTGTATAAATATTGACATTAATATTTATACGATACTACCTTCTCGAAACCCCTCCACTAACACTTAAACTTTATGATATGGTATTAAAGTTCAAATTGACTTTTAAGTATTATTACGAATCTTTTGTATGGGAATATAGAAAAGTGTTGTTTTTAGACTTTTTCATGCAATATTTTAAATTTTTCTCTCCGTAAGAACCATCTTCGTACTTCAAGGAATATTATAAAAAAAGAATTAGCGAAATCGGTTCAGCTGCTCTCGAGATTTGCGCTTAGCAACACATTCAGCTATTCATTTTTATATTATAGATGTTACATTAAGTAAAACAAATGAAAACACAATTATATATTAAATATAATTCAATAAAATTAAAATAAATAAACGATTATTTATTAATTTTTCATCACATTAATAAACAACAAAATTAACAAAATTTTGTCTTCTTTCTAGAGCATTCGTTGTTAAGCTGAGAACAAATTATCGGACGCGTCCGTCAGCCGCGGCTGACAGTCGCGGCTTAGCGGTGTGCACGGTAGTTAAGACGGCGTCTTCGGACGCCTCACTTCAGTCATTCTATAAAGGTGTTTCAATCGATAAACACGACAAGCAGCGACAGCGAGGATGAATTTATAGAGCTAGCAGCAGCTGCCTTATGTTGTTTTCCAAAAAAAAAAAAAGTGAAAAGGAGTGTTTGGGTCCATGATATTAATGTAAAACGACTCGAGTATGATGAATTTCATACATTGTATCCAGACTTACAAAAAGATGATAAACGTTACAAAATGTACTTAAGAATTAATGAAAACCAATTTCATTTTCTGCTTGAAAATGATGTTTAATTCAGCAGCAATTTGCTCCCACACTTCCTGTTTTAAAGTAGCATTTATGTGGCCACGAACACATTCAATTAAATTTTCTACGTTTGACATGTCGCGAGCACGGTCGGTTCGTTTGTGACGCTCGAAACGTCCGCGGACGCGTCCCGTGGCCTGTGCACACCGTCCGAGGACGCACAAATATCCAGCCGGCTAGATTCTGTTCGGACGTCTGAACGCTCAAGGACGACCCAAGGGCAAGTCCGCGTCTTACGACCGATAGTTTGCACAGTGTAGTATTAAATGTACTGGCTAGATTCAAATAAGCTGCGTCTGTCAGCCGCGGCTGACGGACGCGTCCGATAATTTGTTCTCAGCTTTATTCTTGGTTTGAGCAGCTTTAGAATTTCTCAAAAATATGCATTTATAAACTTGATTTATATTTTGCATGGCAGAAATTCTTGGGTGCTGGTTGTTAAAATCGGATTAGAAAGGAGTATATATATTATATGCCTTGTATAAAATATATTATAGTGGTATAAATAATAAGGTACAACTCCTAAACTATACTTAGATAGGTAATACCTATCGCTTGTCAAAACATCTTTATTACATTATTTATGTCAATTAAATGAAAATTATCATAATTACATATTGTATTTATTTCTTAATTTATTTACACATTATTGTTTATAACACCGAAATGAAAATATATTGAAATTTAAAAAGGAAAAAGAACTAAATTTTGTGTACTTACACAATATTTAGAAATATTAACAATGTAAATAAAACATGAAAACACAATTATATATTAAATATAATTCAATAACATTAAAATAAACATATGATTATTTATTAATTTTACATCACATTAATAAACAAATTTAACAAAATTTTTGTCTTCGTTCTAGAGTATTCGTTGTAATTCTTGGTTTGAGTAGCTTTAGAATTTCTCAAAAATATGCATTTTTTAAACATATATATATATATATATAAGGTACAACTCCTAAACTATACTTAGATAGGTAATACTATCTCTTGTCAAAAACATCTTTATTACATTATTTATGACAATTAAATAGAAATTATCATATTTATTTCTTAATTTATTTACACATTATTGTTTATAACACCTTTATAAAAGGGATTAAGGGTGGACTAAATGTCCCATTGGTAGGCATTCCCAGTCACTTTTACAATTATTATTGCATAATAAATTATTCATTTGTATATTTAGGTCAGGATTTCAAATTATTTATTTATTTCTTTTATTTAAATCCTTATTTGCATAAAACATGGTAGTACAGATAAAGTTCCAACATTTGTAAATGAGGATTCATGTTTAATCAATCCATCTATAA